TGAATTAGGTAGGTTTCGTGGAAATCGGTTCAGATTTTGATATAACTTCCATATATATTTTCGTCCGATTTTATGTGAAAGGTGCACAAAAGCCCCAATATATCTTTCGATTTGCACGAAATTTCACACAACGAACTGAATTGAGTCTAAAATGGTGTGTGATAAGTTTCGTAAAAATCGGTTCAAATTTAGATATAGGTCCCATATATATCTTTGTTGTATTTTAGGTAAATGGTCCACCGAGTGACACAAAATTTTGCGCAACGTATCGAATTGAGACCAGAATGACGTCATTGCGTTTTGGTGAAATTTGTTCAGATGCAGACACAGCTATTTATTCAAAAGGGTGTCTGATTGAGATTAAATTTTGAAAATTGCGGTCTACCGAATAGCATGTATCAATTTTGGTTAACCGACCCTTAATAATGTTTTCGAAAAAATCCAAATCACTTCCATAGTCCAACCCAAAAAGCATCGTCCCAACCCAGAATATCTCCGGAAATAAAAATATGCGTTTTATTTTTACGTTTTTTGCAATTTTTATAGTTTTTTGCATGTCTACATGGTTGCATTTTGAATACAAATTGAAATATAAATCAAAAGGTTGCCAGAGTTCGAAAAAAAATGAAAACAAAATGTAAAATTTTAATTGAATTTAATTATTGACAAGCGGACGGCCGGTCAGCTAGCAAAAACAAAAACAATCATACGCCTGACACACACACACACACAATGGCCTGGCATCGTCGTGGTCAACACACAGAGCTAGCAGGACTAGTCATTTAAATGATACTGGTAAATTAATTTCTGTTCGATTCCTTTATGATGGTGTTATGCCAATAACAGCAACAACAATAACAAATCCAGGAATAATTATATCATATGTTTGTGTTTTGAGTTTGTACATTGTATGCGAAAATGTTTTGACCAAGAACACATACACACATATATTCACACACTCCCGGAGAGTAAACAACACCCTCACTCTAGTGTTTTTTTTTTATTTTTTTCTTTGATTTTTTTTGTTAACCACACTAACAGCTTGTTTTCATCTTCCTCTTTAAATGTTGCCTTCTTGTGTAGTTTGTTGTTGCTGTTGGCCATTGCCAAAGTAAAACATAAACAATTGCATGTGTGTGTGTACTACTTGACGGCGAATTGGTGTTAGTTGGGGGGATTTTCGTCGCTCGTTGTTATTTTTTCATTTATGATCAACCATTAACATATAAAAATACTTATGAAAACATGCAATAGTCTACAACAAGTACAACAGCATAGAATTAGTGGGAGAGAACAATAACAACAAACAAAACAAAAAAATACTAATGCAAACATCGTCAAGAAAATATAGTTTAATACCAAAAAACCAAATGAAACATACGATACATATCCAAATTGCTTATGTGTACATACTACATATACCATTATTTGCACTCTTGTGTATTGGGGTGGATCAAACAAATATTTATTATTTTTTTTGGTTGTAATTGTCCATAAAAATTTAAGGGTTTGTTTTCTTAAAATGCTATTATCATTGCAATATATGACAGATGTTTCAGATCTATTGAATTTCATTTTGCATATAACTTTGGTATTTGTGAATATTTGAAATATATGCACACATTTTTAAGCATTTTTGTCACGTAAAAGGATTATCACTATTTGTTTATTTCAAATTTTGAAATCGATATGACCGTGACTGAAACGCGATTTTCGATGCAGCCAATAGCTCCCGTTTCGATTGTTCTTTTTTCTTTACAATTGTAGCAATAATCGTTTCTTTTGTCGTAAGGATGTGCATATGTATGTACAGAATAGTTCATATGTATGCACAGAATAACATGTTAAAATTTGAAACGGATTCGATTATTATTTTTGGAGTTATCTGCCCGCTATTCGAAAAAACACAAAAGACAAAAAAAAAACGTGTTTATAGTTTGAGAAGCACTCTTTCATTACTTGATGCTAACACAATAAATCCGCTATATCTTCAGTAGTTGTAGAGATTTCCAACTTTTAAAGGAACATTCTTGAATTAGTGTAAGTTCGAATTAAATGGGAAAAGTTAATTAATTTATTTAAACCATACAAGGGGAATTCCTCCAAGAAAACGAAAAATGTCTGTGTGTGTCAAGTCGGTCTTGGCTCTTCTATGACCTTCGATTGGGGTGATAAGGCTTTGGTTTAAATGTCATAGCCTTATACCTATAATTCGAGATAAAAGTTTAGGTTTTTGGGACAATTTTTGTCCTAGCCAAAAAATTCAACTGTATTTGATCTATTTGGTATTTATATTTTTAATTTAAACTTTTTGACACAGTTTAATGGCCCCCGATTTAGTTATTTTAAGGAACCAAATCGTATTTACCAACCTAATGTATCTCATATCCGCATCAACATCTGATTTTCGGGTCTGCCACCTATAGACAGGTTTCAAATAAATCGATGATATCAAAAAATATTTTTTTTCTAAAAAACGGGACTTAAGAAATAATGATTTAAGAAAAAATATGATAAAGGTCGCTCTGAAATTGTTTACAAAATTTCTATCAAGCATCCTAGGAGGAGTAGTTTTGTATTGTATCGGTCCAGGAATTGGTACATCCCCCACATCATAATACCAATCCATTTTCAGACTGTAATTCGGCATTCCAGGTTTTTGGTTGGTAAGAACATTTTGAATATAGTCCATGTTTTTGGATAAATGACATATTAGGGCTCGACCCCATATATTGTTAGAGTCCTAGGCGAATTTTCCACCGATGATGCTTCACCATTTCCGAAGTGGTTATAAAACACCTCTTCTCAAAATTTCCCAATTTTCGATATAGTTACGTAGGACATTTGCAGGACATTTCTTTTAGCATATTGAATTGCTACGATTGAAGAAGCGGTTCGTTTTTTTGTCAGACTCAACAGAGAAATCTCCGAATCGATGTGGATGGTTATAAAACACTTCTTCTCAAAATTTCCCAATTTTCGATATAGTTACGTAGAAGCCTTACGTTCCATGTTAGGTGTTTTCACTGTCCTATGCAAATTTTTTAATCAAAATCTAGGCATTTTCAATATGGGTTGACAAACCCACCCCATTTCATAAAGCCTTTGTGGCCCAATGTTGCCCACAGGCAACAATATGTTTTTTAATATGCAGCTAATAGATATATTTTATTTGGATTCCATATGTGAAGACCGGATTTCGGACGATACATATCAAAAGAAAATTCAAAACTTTGGTAACGTTGTGAGCTTTTAAATATAGGGAAGAGGGTAAATTTGTGTACAGTACTAATTTGTGTATACAGTCCAAATTACTTAAATCGATTCGCATTTAAATTGTACGATTTTCTGCCATCAGAATTATTTTTGATTCTTGTAAAAACTAAAATAGAGAATCATTTAAAATGATTTTTCTGTCGATTTTGCATTTTGTTTTCTTGATATTTTATTATTTTATCTCTCAGTGTAAATTTTATTATAAAATATTTTATTGTTCCTCTAAAAATAATTTTATCAAGGACATCCCTTTCAAAATCCATGACAATCCAAATACTATATATTTTTCATAAGAAACATCTAATTGTTATAGAATCTGTGCAAATATTATATATTGTTGTACTATAATGGAACGATTGGGAATTTTATAACTTCAATAAATTAATTGTAATGATTGATTTGAAAAATAAAACAATCATCATTTTCGTCACTGTGATTTAGCATTTTTGCCTTTTTCACAGAAATTTCCATCCCATTAAAAACAGTTGGCCCTTTGGCCCAAATATGCAAATTCACTTAACCAATTGTTATTGCTAATTGCTGATAAGATTATTACAAGTACTTGATTACATACATAGATATTATTTATAAACAAAACCCAAAAAAATCAAATAAAACCCCCTAAAAAAGTCAGCGTTATCAGACATTGGCTGATGAATAGATATCCAAAGAAAAAAAAAAAACTATTACCAGCTGTTGTTGTTGATGAGGGTATTCCAGGGATCTATTATTGAAACCACCGTTCGTAGTAGTAATACGTTATCCTAATCACATTAAATCAATAATCATGTTAATGTGAGTGTGAATGTCTTTGCAAATCGCTATGGCTGACTGACTAGCTTTTAAAACAATTTAATAAACATAGAAATTGAGTGATATTTGTAAATCTCCTGGCAACCGAATGCGTGTGGGAGAATCATAATTCTATGGAAACCAAAAGGGAATTATTCACTTGTTAGGCAATTCTGGAATTTAGACATCAATTGTATGCAATGTTTTACACTTAGAGAAATAAACAATTACTATGGATTATTTTTTAGAATTTTGCGTTTAATAAACAAAACAACATAAACGGAATATGTATTTTAGTTACTAATTTGCAGTTTATTTAGAATATCTACATTTGATTATTCCAAGATTTTAGTTAATTTCTTCGAACGTTTTTTTCTTCAAGTGTAACGCAAGAAATAAACACAACTCCCACACAATTAAACACTAAACACAATATTTACATACCAGACATTTCCAAATAATAAAAAAAAAAACGAAAAAACAACTACACCATTATAACCCACTCAACACCATCATCAAGCTATCTAGCTATCAATCGATCGATCTATCTGCCTGCCTGCCTATCTGTCTATGACAATAGATAACGCTCAAGATACGGGAGTCAGCAACAACAACAACCCACACACACACAACTTGATTAAATAATTTACATATATATTATCGGGGGAAAAAAATAACAACAACAATCATGGAAAATCCTAAAAGCCTTAATGTGTTTCTGATTTTCATTTCGCCATTTGCCCATTTTTTTGATCCATGAAGTGGTGTAGCGCAAGAGGAACGCTTGTTTTTTATGAAAATTTTTCACTTTGTTGTCAATATTATCGAAATGCCTTGGTTTTTCTTCAATACCTATACCGTGAAGTTTGTAATCTGTCACGATTTTAATGTGGTGATTTGATATTAATTTTTTTCTTTTTTGTCTCTTACAGTTTGGCATTAAAAAATGCGGAAGACAATGCGCCCACAAAACGTGATCCTGGTAGTTCAGATTTATTACTAGAAGGAGAACAGTAAGTAAAAATTGAGTTTTTATTTGTCATTTTGTTATTAATGTTATTTTCTTGTTGTTTTATTGCAGACCTTCATTGGAAGAGATACGCAGTTGGGGTAGTAGTTTTGAAAAACTCATGAAGAGTCCAAGTAAGTATTTTTTAATTAATATATATCATATCGGAATAATATTCAAGTATAAAAGGTCGTTTACATTGAACGGGATTTGGTTAACCGAGTGGGTTTCAATTTTCAATTCCTTTGAATGTATGCCAAATAAATCCTCTTAAAGTAGGTTAACCCGGCAAAAAGTTCTAATGTAAATGCCGTATGAAAAATTATCTTTACACTGGAAACTTTTTTTGAAAATAAAAAAAATTTTAGTGCGTTATACAAAAATCACTTTTCGATTGTGATTTTCATATACACCGAACTCAACAGAGTTCCTCTTCCCAAAACTGCCCCATGCTCCCAATATTTGTCTGATTGAGACAAAATTTTTCACAGCATACGGAATAAGGTCCAGATTAATGTATGCGAAGTTACCTTTAAATGGTTTAGATTTAGATATAGCTCGATTTTAAATAAATGGCGTGAAAGTTTCGGTTCAGTTTTAGTTATAGCTGCCATATATAGTTTCGCTCGATTTTATGTAAATGGTGCACCAAACTTCCAATATTTGTCCGATTGAAACGACGTAATTTTAAAATCGGTTCAGATTTAGATATAGCTCCGATATATAGATGTTGCGCCGAAGAGCCAATATGTGTTCGATTTACGCGGGATTTGACAGAGGCTATTGAATTGAGTCTAGTGTGATTTGTATTGTAAAAATCGGTTCAGATTTAGATATAGCTCCCAATCGACGCAGGAGCTTTTTGCTATACCAAAAAGCAAACGAGCGGTTCATTTTTTTATCAGGTACATTTTATGGTACATTTGGAACCTGATCCAATTTCGAATTCGATTCAGATAATTTGGAATTAACTTAGAAAATTTCAACCTTAGTCCACTTTTTATGATTGCCTTCATAATATCAATATTTTGGGATGTTTGGACGCTTTTTGAATCAGATTAGTTGTAATTTTGTATTTGTGATTTTCAGTGGGTAGCATAAATATATTGATCCACTTTTTAGGGTACCTCCTAAATTTTGGGGAGATTGGGCACCATTTCCAACCACCTGGGCTATAATTTAGTATTTTGGAAAATGATTAATGTTGACTTAAGTTTCGGGGTATGCCCTGTATTCTCTAAATTTTGGGCACTCTTCCAATCCCAGTGTCAGTAATTTAATAGTTTTTATTTTTAATAATATTAAAGTCGGATTACTTCCTTTAAAAGGTCCCACGATCTTTTACCTTACATTTTTACCGATGGAATTATATCGATAAAGAGCTGATTAATATATTATATTCAATTTATTTTTGAAGATCTTTATTTTCAAATTAATTATTTTTATAATTTCCCTGCGTATGAGATATGCTTATAATTATCCTCTTTACGTTTCCTTTTTATTTTATTAAATTCTTCCCTTTCCTTCTTACAGGCGGACGAAAAGTATTTCGCGATTTTCTGCGCAGTGAATTTAGTGAAGAAAACATCCTCTTTTGGCTGGCCTGTGAGGATTTGAAAAAAGAAATGAACGCCGAGGCTATTGGCGAGAAGGCACGACTAATTTATGAAGATTATATATCGATATTGTCACCGCGTGAAGTGTCACTGGATGCCCGGGTGAGAGAGATAGTTAATAGGAATATGATGGAACCAACATCGCATACATTCGATGAGGCTCAAATACAAATTTATACACTAATGCTCAGAGACTCATATCCCAGGTAAGAGGAAAATGTTTACTTTTTTTTCAAAACACAATTCAGAATAAATTATGCCCATTTGACCACAGGTTTATAAATTCCCCTAAATACAAAACATTGGCTCAACTAACGGATGGTATGTCCGCATCGGGTTCGGCAGCTGATAGTCCCACTTAAATAAGCGGCTAGACTCCGAGAGAAGGCCTTTCGCTTTATGAAAAGTGAAATCGCTTAAATTTACTTTAGCTTTGTAGAACGAAGTCATTAGGTTGTTGCCGCTTAGGATTGATGTTCGAAGAAAGAAAGGAAAAAATGGGATAGCATTTTTATTTTCTATTTACGAATCAACAAAACAACAGACCAAACTCACAAGAGAGAATAAACAAAACAACAATAAATCCAAAGAAGAAAATAAAAGGCCCAACATAGCAATATTTGTTATACATTTCCCTGATTTTCCTCTTGTTTTTCTTTTTGTTCAATGTTTATTTCTGCGATACATTTTTTATTTTAAACAAAAGCGCAACAATCGTATTTTAAATGCATTTTAAATGTTAAGAACATCTTAAGATGAGTTATATAGCTAAAATAAAACAAAACTCTTATTTTTAATTACCAAAAAATGGAAAAAAACAAAAACAAACAAACCAAACTGCTTATAAATCGTAAACATTACCAAATACCAATTTTTTATTATTATTAATTTTTTATAATTAATTTTACAAATTCTTTTGTTTAAGTTTTTTTATTGTTCATTTAATATTTCTGTTTAATGATTACTTAAATAAATTCTAGTCAAAGTTTTTAATACAAAAAATGGAATTTGCTGTGGCATCAATTACAGCAAAAAAAGAATCCAATAAATAATATTAAAAAATGAATTCAAATAATTAACCAAACAAAAAATAAATGAAAAATTAAACGAACGAGCGAAGATTATTTTGTTTCTTTTTTGTAACTGAAGTGAAAAAACAACTTAACAAATTAAATTAATAAAAAAAAATTAAATAAAACTTAAAACAATATATAAATTCAAATACAGAAAAAAAAATTACAAAAATAAAAGATGTTTACCGATTATTATAAACCAAACCAAACAACTCCAATCCAAATAAAAAAATCCCTTAAATTTAATTTTTTAGTCATAAATTTTTGCAAATATGTAAAACCGACATCACAAACAATTCTATATAAGAGAAGAAAAATATATATATATATAATGGAAAAACAAATCACAATGTACACGAGTATTTAGTTTATAAGATTTCTTATAAAAACCAGAAACAAACAAAAAATCCATGCATTAAAAAATAAATGAATTATTATATAAGTAAATTTATTTATCTTAATAAAAAAAATAATAATAACGACAACAAATGCAAACTAATATAAAAAAACTATGAATATAAAAAAATAATAAAATTTGTTAAGTTAATGAAACAAAGATCTTAAATAAAAAAACTGTTTTAAGTTTAAATAACAATGAAAGAAAAAACAACTGTTTTGTTTTATTTTGTTTGCTTTTAGTTTTCAATTAAAACAAATTGTTTGAAATATATAAAATTAAATTAGAAAAAAATCATGTCAGATATGATGGTTTAGTTAAAGAATAACCTTATTATTTATAAATCTTTATTAGTTAATTAATTCCAAATTTTCCTATGGGATGTGTGTTTATGTTTTCACATTTCAAATATGGGAGTAATGCCTCATTGGATGAAATATTGTATTACCAATTTGTACCTAATAGGTGTTCTTTCTTATAGAATTCCATTATGGAAGAGAGTTTAAAGGTTTTGGCAAGGTTCGGATGTGGAAAATATTTATCCACTTTTGTGCCTATGGCAAATAGTTTAAAAATTTCGGTTTCGATTTCCAAGATGAAAAGTGTCGGTCTTCTATACATAATTCTAGTAATAAACCGGAAGTATATAGGGAAACATACGAGGTCGGATTATAAAATAACCGTAAAGGTCCGATCAAAAAAAGATCCCTTAATATAATATCCCTTCGAAGTAATCCTCTTCAAACATAATGGTCTTATGCCAATTTTTTACAATCCTCGATACACTTCTGAAATGAGATTTTTAATATAATCTATTCGAAGGAAAAATCCAGCGGGGTCATGTTGTATGAATGCGGTGGTTGAAGTGGGCCACACACCTCAAACATGTGCGTTCGATCGGTGTGAAGCTCCTAGCCCACACACGTCAAACGGATCCATTAAACTTCATTTCATATTTATTTTTGAAGCGTGAAGATGGACCGCGATGGTGATGACGGAAAAAAAGATGACATATTTTTATTTAATATAAATGTATTAAATACTTTTATTTTATTCCGGGAAAAAACATTTTTATTTGCCACACAGTAGAATATGTGTGAAAACATCAAAAAATCTTCCAAATACATATGTATTGCATTTGTCCGCTGATCCGCACTCCACGAAATTTCTCAACAAATGAGAAAATATCCACACACCAGGCCACAGACGTCAAACAGGTGCGCGTCGCACAACGAAAAATTAAAATTTTTTAATATCTTTCGATCGGTGTGCGCACCGGCAAATCGGTGTGAACACCGTACAACACACGTCAAACATTGCTTCTATTCACACCGATCGAACGCACATGTTTGACGTGTGTGGGTCACTTGAGACATTGGAACGGGTTTGTTTTTGACCAATATCACGAAAGGGTATTTTTGTTGACATTCCGGGTTCTTGAGGATTTCTTGCAGAAATTTTTCAACAATCCCATATAACGGTACCGTTCCATTTTCGGCATTTTGAAGGCTGCATTTTCCAACAACAGATGTGAGGTCTGCGTTTGAATATAGTATCCATTTCCAGCTCGTCCCGATCGGGTTGCAATTTGACATTTCCGCTTCTTGAGATGTGAGGTCTGCTTTTTTTATAAAGCATCCATTTCAAACTTGTCCCGATTTTAGTTTATTGGTGGACTATGCTCATTTTTCAAACAAAGTGATTGTAATTTGGGATTCCGGGTTCGTAGTTGCAAAAAATATAGGTCGTGGTCCATATTCGGTATGCATAAGGACTTAGTATTGTCACCATATAAATGTCCCGATCATTTTTAGATATTTTTTGAATCTAGTTCATATCTGTTTACTTTTTTTCTTTCTAAATGAGATCAGGTCATCTGTGAAAAAGTAAAAAAGGCATGACCAAGGCATGTGTACATTTCCTATAAGGAATCTCCGGCCTCAGTGGATTGGATTTAAACAGATGAATTGAATCTGATCTGATTTTTTCCATTTTAGATATTTTTTGAATACAGTTCTTAGTTGTTTACTTTTTTCTTTCTAAATGGGATCAGGTCATCTGTGAAGTAGTAAAAAAGGCATGCCCGAGGCATGTGTACATTTCCTATGGGGAATCTCCGCCCTCAGTGGATTGCATTTAAACAGATGAATTGAATCTGATCTGATTTTTCCACTTCTACCAAATGTATTATTTTATTTCACTATTAAAACGAAGTTTCTTTCAGTCTGTATGGATTTTTAATATTCATTTAAATTACATTAAAAAATAAATAATTCTATAACAGATACACGTAGGAGACCAAAATGATCAGATATCAGATTTACAACTATTTCTTTCTTGGCGGTTCTTCTTCCGTTTTGAATTAAATTTATGATTTAATTTATTTCATTAAAACTTCAATTTCTATAGTCCCTAATTTTTAAATATGACTTAAAAGCAAAATAAAATGTTAACATCGAAATTTATTTGTAAATAGAACAAAACAAAAAAATAAAGTATATTGTCATACTAAATACTAAAAACAAAATGTTAACACTAAAATATTTGACAATGAAACAAAAGGTGTGTTTGGTGTTTTAATTAAAAAATCATAACAATAATTAAACCCGAAAAAATGCATTTTAATTTTCCCCAAAAAATAAATAAACAAATTCAGTTCCAAACAAACAAACACTTTCCATTTTAAATTTAACATACATACATACATACATACCTACATTGATGTTGTTGTTTATATACATATAACAAAGGAAAAAATATAAAACATACAAACTATATGATTTCATAAGAAACTATATAGCCAACAAAAACAAACATTAGCCTTAAGTATGCTAATCACTGCCAATCAATCACAACAAACACTCACCGTGACATATGTATTTACACTACACTACCGATCACCAAATCACTAAAGGATCACCTCTCCCTCCCTCCTCCACGAACATTTGGACCATTCCTAAACTATGACCTAATAAAAAATTATTTATACAAATAGCCGAAAAATAAGTTATTTTTTTTATTATTGTTTTTCTTTAACTCAAGGAATTGAAATCCAAAACCAAAAACAACCGGTGTTGTGCTTCAATAAAACAACTTTTATGTTCTCAGTGTACCTTGTTTTGTAATATGAGTTGTGAAATCTTTTAATATTTATTTGAAAAACCAAAATATTTACAATAGCAACATGAAAACAAGCGGTTTTAACAAACACAAACATGACCAATATTATAGAAACAAAAAAATAATTTTAATTAGAAACTCAATAAAATGTTAGATATTTAATTTCCCCTATTTTCTTTTTGGTTATGAAAACTCTGCACATAGCAAAATTTAACGATAAATTGAATAGTTGTAACATTAAAAAACAAAACCAAAATATCATTTAAATCGAAAATTATATATAAAAAAAGAAAATTAGTTTTCCCATAAGAATGATACCAACTAATGTTTAAAAACAAACCCACAACAACAAAAACGAAGAAATGGTAAGAATAGTTTTACATCAAACCAATTGAATGTTTAGCATTAACAATTTAATAGAAATCATTAACATTAAGAGATGAAAAAAAATGAAAATAAAAATCCAACAAAATTAGACATTAAAAATTGTGAAATAATTCCACACTTATTCATCCCTTTCTCACACAACCAAGAAACAAAAAAATCACCCAAAAATTCCCACAAATACCCCCGGAAATCATTAAAATCAACGTAATTGTAAAACAACCAAACAACTTTCCACTATAAATTTTTAGCAATGTAACATTTATTACAAAAAATTAAATAAGAAAACTTATATGACCACTGCAATAAATAAATAAAAAAAATCATATAAAAACTGTATTTAAATTGAAATATATTAAAATTTATAAATTAACCCTTTTTGGAAATCGTATATCCCT